CCAGCCAGACATCCTCATGGTCACCGTAAACTCAGCATATGTACCAAATGCGGAGGGAATAAAGAAGGTAGCTGTAAACGATACTCATACTTTTCTGTTCTTATGATCTTTTGGTACTAGATAAAGAAAGCAGTGCTCGACACTATGGATATCCTGGACATTGACCCTTTGTCAATTCTCCCTTTCGAGAAAACTCCTACATACAAACCATTCTTAGCGGAGTGTGTCGAAGAGGCTCGGAAACGGGGATACCTCGGTGAAGAGGAAAATCAGGCTTTTAAGGAGAAGCACATTCATATTGGTGCCGCCGTTGGACACTACACATACCTTCATCATAAGAACACTCAAAGTCACGATGTAGCAGTGCTTTCCTCCCTGCTCATGGCTTTCTACTACTGCATCGACGATTACGGTTTTGAAGCAAAATCTGTGACGGAGTACGGCTCCCGTTTGGTCTCGGGACGTCCTCAGCTCGAAAAAGGACTAAACGATCTAGCAACGCTGTCCGCTGAGCTCTCGAGTATGTACGATCCAGTAACAGGCGATTTGCTGCGTATGTCTACACAGGCATATGTGATGGGTAACCATCTCGAACGAGAAATGTGCGGTCTACGCACACAGGTAAGTGTACATTATTTTTAATAAAGATAGGCCTTTCTCAAGCAATGATTAATTAGTGGGAGGTGAACAAGAACGCACCGCTGTTCCCAACAATAATGAAGACTATTACTTCAGCTGCAACATCGTTATACTTGTTGTCCTTCCCTTGCAGCGCTCCTGCTACTAGCTATATGCAAACATTGCCGGACGGAATTTGTGTGCACGATACTACGGCGTATGTAATCTATTTCTAGGACCGTTTCTCCGATCGCTAACGCTTGGATCTTCAGCGATATCATGTCATATTATAAGGAAGCAATCGAAGGGGAGTTCAACCGGGTGGAGCAGACCGCACAGATGCATAATATGACAGGCCCTGACATGCTCGAAGAGCTTGTTAAAAACATGAAACTCAGCCACAAGCGAGTTATTGATGTGCTATCAGCTTCTGACCCATCTGGTAGCCTGGTTTCCTGCTATACGAGCACGATCGTGGGCTTTGTTGTTTTCCAAGCCCTACATCCTCGGTACAAGATCAAGGATTTCAATATCTTCAGCTTTTAACAGGTTGATAGCACGCACCAATTAATCACGGCTACAGGGCACAGTTAAATGTGGAAGCTGTGGGACAATTTGTACGCGGAGAGCATGATATAGATTACTGCAATCAACAATAGAAAAAATAGTATTGTAAAATTAATAGGGAAAACCTTTTGGAGCAGTGGGATAGCCTTGAGTTTATCTTACTGAAGTTTGAATTAATACTGGCCACTTTTTATGTAGAGTTCTTATTGTAATGCATTTACGTGTTCGCAATTATCGATCTCCTTTTAGTTTTTGTCCTTCTCTCCTCTTTCCCTACCTCTCCGGCGTATATATGTATATATACTCAATGCTGATACACGTACACGAACGTTCCAACTCAAACGCAGATCCGAATACTTGACCTAATCAAGAGTCCATCCCGCGCACATGGAAGAAACTGTATTATAACCAACACACAAAAGGAGATGCCAGATGGGTATTGGGGGAGATGAGGTCAAGCACGTCCGGAACCAGGGTTAAGATTAGAGAACATTCCACCTGGACGCTCGTTCGGGTGCGATGCAAGTGCGGAAACGAGCGTGGATAACTGGTGTGACAATGATGGCTGCTATTCCATTCAAAGTCGAGAGGGAAGTTAGGGACCCATTGATATATTGTATTTGAGACCACCTGCTGTACTGAATATGACATTATATACAAATTGCTCAGAGCTTTTTTGAGTTTTATACCCTCGAATTCATGCTGTATTCCAAACGTATACATTTTACTAATGGTAATTACTACAACATTCCACTACCGGCGAAGCCCCACTCAAGATTGCAAAGACAAACCGAAGATCTTCTTTAAAAAAGACAAGACTTAATAAAAAAACAATGACTATGAAGGAGGACTCCCTGGCACACTCTCCAGTCCAGAAACACAGTGAGTTCTGCTGTGTGGGTTGCACTGAATAAGCTGCTGAGATGTCGAATGTTGCAACTGTCGGGCAGAGAGAGAATAAGATCCACTGCATCTGCAAATGTCCCCCACTCAGTTGGAAAGTTGTTGGAATTGATTCTGGCATTCACTGATGGAATCAAAGAGGTCCGAGGATATGACATATCCTGTAAAAGTTGGAATGAGTCAGTGCTGGGCTTGGGAACCTGCCCAAGTGGCAAAGTATAAAAGGGTCCAATGATGGACTCTAACTTGGATGGGGTATAGGAATGAGAGAAACACCCAGCAGCCTGCTCCTGAGCAATATAGTTTGAGGTGAAGGAAGGATTGAGACCAGAAGAATGATGATTTTTGAAATAAATGTGAGTGTGAGAGGGAGCCTCTCACACCCACATCAAAGCCATTGACCACACCCTCAATGATATGTTTCCAATCAGTGAGCAAGCTGAACTCCTCCAAGCGGGAGATCAGCTTCTCTGCAACCAAGGGAGTTGTGACCTGACATGGGTCAGATGCCATGAGTGCAGTTTCTGGCACCATGGTCTGAAGGTCCACACAAGGAGCATTCATGTGAGCCAGGACATTCAACCCAAGAACAGGTGGAGGAGCAAGCAAAGACAAAGCAAATTGGTCTTCCAGAAGAGGAGATGAGTTTATTTAGATATTTCTGGTCATTGGCGAGCTTTGTGCATTGCTGTCCTGTGATAGTTTTGTATGTGGAGCAGCTAGATGGGTGACACCCAGCTGCTCTGCAATGAAAGCACTGGCCATTATCTCGCTGGTATGGGGTTGTACCTGCAGTGCGAGACCTTGGTGTACTTCCAGACTGACCCAACAGAGAAGAGGATAAGAGTGCACACATGTTGACCTTCAGCTGGTTTTCGCTGTCCTGGAAAGCCAGCTGAGAACAGACCACTTCAAGGCAATGGTGGTCATACACACTAATGTCCAGACTCTCCTGGGACAAAACTGCCTGGCAGAAATTGATGTTGTAGGCCATGGCTAGATGCCAGGAGATGGCACTACCAATGCTCACACAGTTAACACAGTGCTTTTTCCAAAGATCACCCATAACATCTCCATGGATTTTAGCAACTGTTAAGGCAAGAAGCTCAAGACAGCTTCTCCATTCGATAGGATCAATGTCCAGTTCACCTGTCCGGTCTGCCTGCACTTCGGCTGCTACTAGAGCACCTGAGATAGGGTCAAGCAATAAAGAAGTGACCGCCTTCAAGATGGCACAGGTCTTCGTTTGTAAAAGAGTAAGTGGAACATAATCATACTTGCCAACCAAACAAAAGACTTTAGCCGGAACACCTGTGAAAGGTATGGAATGAGCCACCATTCCCAAAAAAGTATAAGTAGTCAACATAGAAACAAGCCACACTAGAGTGTTGTTGCCTATGCCTGTAAGCAAAACTGGCCAGGTGCCCACCACCCTGAGGATAAGAGGGTCTGCAGCCCAACAGTAAACATTGCCAAAGGGCAGCATCACAACACAGGTGGCATCACAACATAGGTAGCATTGCACTGCAGGTGCCCTCATAAACAAGCTGCATCACCCAGGTAGAACAGCAAGCGGAGCAATGAAGCTCATGGCAAAATGGAAATAGACTCACCGAATTCAAATGGGTTCCTACTGAACCCAAAACTACCATTGGTGTATTCACTGTCAGTTTACCGCCACCTGATGCCAGGGCCATCCCAGTGCCTCTAATTCCAGCCTCAATGCAAGCCGCAATATGAGTCTCCAAATCTTTTTGACTGGTAAAGAATACACCCTGTGCCAGCATGATAGGAGTTGAATGTGCAGTGCTCTGGCCTATGCTATCTGATCATCCAGTCTGTGGCCCCTGAGATTGGGTTGAAGGTTGAGCCTGAAGAGTCAGAGAAGCAGAGTTCTGGGAAGGCTGGGGCTGGGCTGACAACAGTGGGCTGTGAGGTTGAGTAGCAGGATAGATCTGACCTAAGGAAGACTGGGGAGGCAGCAGAAGGCGGGATTCTGAGCCTGGGGGAGCAGAACCAGCTTGATTGTCAGCTGAGCCTCCTGAGACCAAAGAAGAGAAAGGGCAATACAATTGCTGAACCTTGGAAGGAATTCCTGTAGACAATGGGCTCGTGCCAGTGTCTGATGCCGAAGCAGCACCTTGCATTGATGTTGAGGAAGCAACTCTGGGCATCATGAGATTGGCTAGATGAGGAGGAGGGCCATTGTGAGCTGGCGGAACTCCATCACTTACTGAGTTGGAATGATAGAAATAGCGTATAGGATTAGGGAGTGTAAGATATCTGAGAAAGAAGCAAAAGATTGCTTGTCGACTCGACGCTATGTGAGGGCAGTGAGACAACTGGGAGGAGCAGTAGCAAGAAGTGAATAGCTTCCATCTCTTCGCTACTGCTCAACTGGATGTTGACACTGAGTGTCCTTTCTTAGCTCAGCATCTGACACATGCGAATGACAGGCGCATGTACTAACTGATATACTACCAGGGATTGAATTAATTGAATTAAGGTGATCTATGGTGTGTACCGTTACCTATATTTGAATCAGGATATCACGCAAGACTCTGTCTCAAGTTGGGCGGGCAGGGGAGAGAACAAATCATGGGCATGGGCATGTAAAAAGAAGATTCTATATTACCCAGTAAGATGTCTCTCTGCTCTGCTCTCCTCCCCTCCCTCTTGGAGACCCAAAGGGACCACACTTGCATACTACAACAACGTAGCCAACTTATGACAATGGGGTGGGAGGGCCTCTCTTGTCTCTCATCTCGCAAAGGCCTATCATCTTTTACACTCCCACTATGTCACCTATAACACCTCCACCGCTAGCGACTAGGTATGAGTTGACAGGTAAATGAAGAAAAAACAAATAAATAGGAACCAAGCAAAAAAAGACACAATGCAAGAATACAGATCTCCCTGGCTGGGAGTCGAACCCAGCTTTCGCGCGAAATCACCATCCATGATGTATCATTATGACAGGCGCGTGTACTAACCGATATACTACCAGGGATTGCATGAAAGTGCTCTACAGTGTATAGCGTTACCTATATTCGAATCAGGATATCATGCTAGACTCCGTCTTAAGTCGGGCGGGTGGGCGAGAGAGACGAATCATGGGCATGGGCATGTAAAGAGAAGATTCTACGTTATCCAGTAACATGTCTCTGCTCTGCTCTGTTCCCTCCTGGAGACCAAAGGGACCACACTTGGCGGCTTGAGTACTAGAACTGCGTGCGTGCCAACTTTGCTGTCGAGAAGCATTGATTGTAAATTCCAGTTGTATCTTTTTTACTAGGCTATGCACCAAGTGTACGTAAGGACATCTAATAGCTCTGAACGAAGTTATGACTACAAGGGTCATCTAATTAATAGGTTTTCTGCCAACCATAAGATACATCGGTGTGAACAACTTTTGCTGACCTCCCTTTATCAAGCTGGTCTGGGCGATTTTGAGTGCAGCGCCGACCTCAATCGTTCCCCTTGGCAAGACACCGACCAACTCCAATATCCAGAAAATATTGTGCATAACAAACATACCGAGCCAGGCCGTCCTCCAGACTGTGAACCAATCCATAACGGTCTGAGCTTTCCTGTAGTCGCCTTCGAGGGGATAATACCACTCGACATAGTCATTCCTTTCGGCAAGGTCTTCCTCGTACTCGACTTCGAATCCAACGTTTTTCACTGCTTGACGGGCGACATGGAGAGGACGCATTTCAGGGATACCATTGCCTAGTTCAATTTCGTGTGCAAGAGCCTTGTGTGAAGGGATGGAAGGGTCCCAAGCGTCTGTCATGCACCATTCGTAAACTCCAAACTGGACGCAGACGCTGTTACTTTATGAAAAGATAAGGGTAATTTTTCTGAGTACTTACGACGCCTCCGGGTTTCAGAACCTTGTATATCTGGCTATACACACCTTCGAAAGATGGCGCGTGGACGGTCGCTTCAATAGCATAAACTATAAGGCGCATTTTAGTCAATAAGATGTCAAGCGGAATTGCCAACTAACCAGCATCGAAACTAGCCTCGCCAAACTGTTCAACGAGCTTCATAAAGTCGCCTTTGACAAATGTGAGCTGTCCTTCCATGCCCATTCTTTTGGTATACTTCCTAGCTCTGTTCACTTGGTACTCGTTATTATTGAGACCGACCAACTCTCCCGCATCTGTGAAGATGGCAATCTCCCTCGCAGGACCGCCTACACCGCAGCCGACATCGAGTACTCTCATTCCTGGCTGAATTCCCATTTTGGCAGCGAGGAAGTGTTCATGTCGGGCATGGGAGCTAGCAAACGACTCTCCTTTGTAGAAACGGGAGAAATGAAAAGACTGGGCCCATCCCCACTCGTATAAATCAGTCGCACCGTCGTAATAGCCTGGTAACAAACGCGGTCTATTATTCTGAGATTTACTGAAGGAGAACAAATCATACCGTTTACCACTTCGGTATAACTATCCAGCCTGTTAGCGCTGTCGGTTTCGCCTTCTTTTGAGCTATCCTTTTGCCAGAACTTGGTATAGTTTTGGATACGAGAGTCTGAGCGACCGTCAGCATGAACTTTTCCATTTTCCATGGCAATTGCGAGAGAGAAGGAAGGGATTTTAAAGTGGACTGTGGCGCGACCTTTCCTTAAATCGAGTGGATGAAAAAAAAAAAAATGAGAACGGTGGCACGACCTTTTTCTCAATCGAATAAATGAGACAAATACGGGAATGGTGTCACGACTTTTTTTTAATCAAGTGGATTGAAAAAAAAATCTAAGAATGGTTCGAGCCCATAATTTTTATCAATATGGATCATGTGTCAATAGTCGCTGTGTCCAATGACACCAGGTAGATGAATGACTTTGTTTCCCCGTATAATGTAAGGAAAGTTAGGTCAAGAGGTGATTCGGGCGCCGAGCATTTTAGTAAGAAGGCTGCAATTACGGAAAGGTTGTGAGATGAAGTCGATGACAATCGACGTGATGAGCCTAGACCATACATAAGGAGAGTCAGTATGGAGCCAGTATGTAAACCGATGAATCCGAGCATTGTTTAATCCGCGCGCCAGATCTAGTCTTCGTCATACGCCAGCTTCTACCTGGGGATTTTCCCCGAGGTCTCCCGTGTTTGAAGGATGGGATATCCCATACGGGACGGCGCTGGTATCATTTTTCCCGCTGGTTACAAATTTGAAGAGCAGCGGCGGATTGGCGAATTGGCAGGGGCACTGGGATCAGACGGCCCGTAATGCCTCTTTGTCTTGTAAGTAACTTATATCTAGTAAGTGAAAAAGGAAATTCGCTTGGGTTTCTATTCACTTGGGTATCTGGCTGGAGTCAGATTTCGTTATGAGAGAATCCAGCCTTGAGGCTCATCCTGGTGCACCAAATTTTTTTTTTTTTCATTTCTTCAATGCTCCGGCAATTTGAGCTTTTTGTTCCATTGTTGTCTTATGGGAGTGTAGTGTAAACGTTCCGTTTACTCGATACGCATATACTTACCATTCTCAGATGTTTACGTATATTTATATACCGCCGAAGCCTCCGGCTTCTTATATATAGTTAGTTACCTACTGTAGACGTCTCTCTTCTTCTTACCCTCATCATCTCCTTCTTCCATCTCTCCTCCTTTGTGTAGTACATCCTCTGAATACCAATCCGTGTGTCACACAAGCATTGACCCCATAAGTGTGAGTGTTACGTCCATACTAAGGACATTTCCACTTTTTTTTGTGTGTCCTTCTACGAGATACGCGGCTTCACAGTCTTTGTACTATCTCCTTATCTTCTCCTTTGACCTCGCCCAAGGGCCTGACCGAGCATATACTCAACTTGCCCGAAGACATTTTCAGTCGTCCCTCTTTGAACCATGTCTATCCTACCTGGGAGAAATCTCCATACTAGTTCTACCTTTCCCTTGTTACACACGTCGCTCTCACTCTATAACACGTCTTAAAACACCTGTCATTTTAACTTGCTCATAACCCGTTCTTCCTAGTCTCATTCTCATGTCTTCCAGACCAGTGACTCGCTCTCACAAGCTTACTACCATATTGATCCCCTCGGAACCCAACGCTCTCAACCCCCAGAGTCCCTCCCCCTTGAGCACGAGCGCTGACTCTGAGGCCGATCTCGACAATCTCCCCAGTGTCCCCAAAACATCTCACCCGCCACATTCGAATTGTACAAGCGACTCCAATTCCAACTCTGATCTTGACGATACGCACATTGCTCTCATGTCCCATTCTTCGGCAAAATCCTCCTTCATGCCCGGCGGTCTCAAATGTCCACCTATCGTACATGCCTCTTGTTTGTCTCTGGCAGATTGGGACACAGTCTGCATACAAATGCAGAACTACCTCAAGTACAAGGATATCACTGATGACCAGAAGGTCAAGTGGCAATATATGGCCTGCCTAGTACACGAGTGTCTCCAAACCTGGGTAGCAGGCAACAAAGACAACCTTCTCAAACTCAAGATGGTCGACGACAAAGACGCTGATATCAAACCTTTTCTCAATGCCCTTTGTCACGAGGTCGTCGGCAGAGATTGGGCCGTGGACCAAACTCGCGCGATCTTCGATACCAAGCAATGGTGTATTCCTGATAGTTCCTTCACCGACTTCTGTTCCTCCATCATTGATATGAACCACCGCCTAAAGGGCATGGCACACCATCAGTCTACTGAGCAGCTCAAGGTCATCATCCGGTCAAACCTCTCTGACATGACTCGCGCCATGTTCAAATGAGACAAGCTTGACAATGCTCTTCCCTTCAAGGAATGGCTCATTGCTGCAGAAGACATTTGGGAATGAAACAAATCCCACCTGAAGCAGCAGGCAGAAGCCACCACAAAGTTACTTGGCCTCAAACACGGTTCTCTTGCAAACAATGCCTTGTCCCGAAACAGAAGAGGCCAATTTTCTTCCGGCAATGATTCTAACCCCCCCATTAATTCCTCCTCCTCCTCCTCATCCCGATGCAGCAACACAACCTCCCATCACATCCCAAAGCTCACCGACTCTGAACGCTCGATACTGTCGGATGCTAAAGGGTGTTACCGCTGCCGTTCCTTCTTCGCTCAGCACAGCTCCAAAGATTGCACCGGCATCTCGACGCTCTCTGTACCCTACTGCAAGTTGACTACCGTAGACCTCGCCCGAGCACAAGAAGTGTATGGGAAGACGAAGCATCCCATCACCCTCAATGCCCTACTCTCATATGCTCCTGGGAAGGCGGTCGCTGCTGTGGTTCCCATTGAGGCCATAGACGACATCTCTGACCTTGTCAATGACAGCTATGCTGAACCCATGCCCAACGTTGGAGCTATCTTTGGCAGACATGATATCTCACATTTTGCATCTGGCTCATCCATTTTCAACAGGAACCAGGGCAGAACTGATAACGAAGACACTTGATGGCCAGCACCAACTTCAGTGGCTGCAGTTTTCCTCTCTGATGATGACGACGATGTTTCATCTGATGACAGATACTCCTCCCCTGTGAACCGTTCTCACACTTCCACTTGTTGCCTGCCTCCGTCACAATCTCCTTCCGAAGCTCGCCGCACCCGTGCTAGGTTCAATTCCCCTATACACTCACCTTCACCCCGTTCCTGTTGTGGTGGCCGGCATCCAGAGCCTGTGCAGACCCAAGAGAACAAGGAAAATTCCTCTCCCCATTGTTTTGCCTCTGTAAGTGACCCCCCTCTTGTTCCCCCCCATTCCCCACAGCCCATTCGTGTTTCTCACTTGTGGTGGAGGGCTAACCTCCCCAACCTTGTGTCTAATGACTACACTCCCCATGACCTGTTACTGGACGATGGCTCACATTTGGTCCTTATTAGGTCTGACATAGTAAAGTCTCTCGGCCTTTGCCAACACAACCTGTGACACCCTGAACCCTTTTGTAGTGCATTCGACTCTACTACACAATCCATCACACAGTTTGTTAAGATTATACTCCATGACCCCAGTAATGCCTGGTTCTCTCGTACAGTACACGCCCTTGTTGTCCCTACTCTTTGTGCACCCATGATTCTTGGACTTCCCTTCCTTACACACAATAACCTCATTGTTGATTACGCTTCACGCTCTGTCATACATAAGCCTTCGGGCTTTGATCTCTTACATCCCAGTGACACCCTACCTGTTCCTCCCGAAATAAAGTTGTCTCCACACCAGAAGCGTGCAATCATTAAGAAAGAGATTAAACATCAGTTCCAGCAGAAAAAGGAAGTGATAAAAGAACTTGAACGTGTCTTTCACCATTGCCCTCAGCTGCGCCGCCGTCCTGAACCTGTCAAGCGCATCGACGCTGTCGCGGCAGTTCATAAACGCATCGAGGCACTGGAACTTTTGGAGCGACAAGAGTGTCTTTCCAATGAGATTAAATCCCAATACCACGACGTCTTTCAGAAAATACCACATGTTGATGAATTACCCTCTGATGTGACTTGTAAGATAACCCTGAGATCTGCCAATGCAGCAATACAAACTTGTTCTTATTCATTGCCTCGCAAATATAAGGAGGCATGGTCAACTCTCATACAACAACACCTTGACGCTGGAAGGATCCGGCCATCCAACTCCCCCTTCTCTTCCCCTGCCTTCCTGATCCCTAAGTCTGACCCAAACACGCTGCCACAATGGGTAAACGACTTCCGAATTCTCAATGCCAATATGGTCGACGACCGCCATCCTCTACCTCGCATAGATACTATACTGGCTGACTGCGCCCTGGGTAAAGTCTGGGGGAAGATGGACATGACGGATTCCTTCTTCCAAAACAGAATGCATGAGGACTCTATCCCACTGACTGCTGTTAACACTCCATTGGGTCTATATGAATGGGTCGTCATACCGCAGGGCCTTAAAATTGCCCCTGCTGTACACCAGGAACGCGTAACACAAGCACTCCGCAAATACATATGTGTATTCTGTCATGTTTACATAGATGACATTGTCATATGGTCTGACAATGAGGAACAACATAGACAACATATCGCCCTTATTTTACAAGCACTCAGAGATCATAAGCTATACATGAACCCAAAAAAATGTAAATTCTTCCTAGATGAACTGGATTTCCTTGGACACCATATCTCCCACCGCGGCGTGGAAGCACAGACATCTAAGTGCAACATAATCCTTCATTACCCCCGGCCGGAATCTACCAAAGATGTCCGCAAGTTCCTAGGGATTGTGCGATTCATTGCAGGTTACCTTTCAGAACTGCTAGCTGATCACACCGCTGTGCTAACCCCACTCACCAAGAAAGAATACAACAAATCCTTCCCCGAGTGGACCCCTGATCACGAGAAGGCTTTCCTGGCCATTAAAAAACTCATTGTCAAGAGGGCTATTCTCACAGTCATTGATCATGCGAACCCAGAAGACAACCACATCTTCTTAGTTACAGATGCAAGTGATCATCGAACAGGTGGTGTGCTTATGTGGGGCCCCACTCTGGACACTGCAAGACCAGTTGCCTTTGATTCCTCACAACTGTCTGGCCCTGAGCTGAATTACCCCGTGCATGAGAAAGAACTGCTGGCCATAGTACGCTGTCTAAAGAAGTGGCGATCGGACTGCCTCTGCTCCAGGGTCTATGTACTCACTGACCACAGGACACTAGAGAATTTCACCTCTCAGAAGGATTTGAGCAGGCGACAATTACGTTGGCAAGAGGAAATTAGCCAATATGAACTCAATATTGCCTACATCTACGGTGAAGACAACACTGCCGCAGATGCACTTTCGCGAGTAAAGATCATGGGTTTCCCTTGGGAGACACAACCTGAGCCGGCTTGTCCTGATCAGCCGTCCTGCCTCCAGGCATGGTTAAATGCCCCCTGCGTTTCATCAATTCTCACTGTTACAGCAGATGCCTCATTCCTGTCAGATATCAAGGCTGGATACGATCAGGATGATTTTGTAAAGAAGATCCTGTCCAGCGGCTCCCAGATCCCCGGAGTTGAGCAATCTAATGGGCTCTGGTATGTCACTGGGCGATTATATATTCCCAAATACAAGTCGCTCCGAGAGGACTTATTCGCACTTGCACATGACTCCTGTGGACATTTTGGAGCAGACAAATCCTATGCAAATCTTGTGAATTCTTATTACTGGCCGAGAATGAAACGAGATTTATACCGTGCCTATATCCCTTCCTGTGACCAATGCCAACGCAACAAGAGTAGGACATCGGGCAGTGGTCAAGGCCCCCTACACCCCCTCCCTGTTCCCAACCACTGCGGTGATAGTGTAGCCATGGACTTTGTTGGCCCATTACCACCAGACGCAGGTTTTGACTGTGTCCTAACAATTACTGATCGTTTAGGTTCTGACCTACGAATCATTCCCACAAATACCGATATCTCTGCGGAGCAACTGGCTGTACTGTTCTTTAACCACTGGTATTGTGAGAACGGGCTCCCCCTTGAGATTGTATGTGACCGCGACAAATTGTTTGTTTCCCAATTTTGGAAGAAACTGATGCACCTTTCGGGTGTCAAAATCAAGATGTCTTCTGCTTTCCATCCCGAAACAGATGGTGCTTCTGAACGAACAAATAAAACATTCAATCAATGTGTTAGATATTATGTCGAACGCAACCAGAAAGGATGGGTGAATGCCCTACCAAAAATTTGTTTCGATATTATGAACTCAGTAAATGCTTCCACGGGCCTCTCTATGTTCCAACTCAAGATGGGACGCTCCCCTCGCATCCTACCTCCCCTTACATCCGATAACTCATCTGCTAATAATGATAAGGATGCTATCACATTCACACGAAAGATGCATTTAATCGAGACAGAGGCGAAGGATGGCCTTATCGCAGCCAAAGTACAACAAGCTTTCCAATCGAACAAACACCGTGGTCGTTGTGAAAAATTTGAAGTCGGCGACTGGGTCATGCTCTTGACTCTCCATCGAAGAGAGGGTTACAAGAAAGCAGGTGAAAAGCGAGTCGCTAAGTTCTTCCCCAGGTACGATGGCCCTTACAAGGTCATCAAATCCCATCCTGAAACTTCGCACTATACTCTGGACTTGCCTAATCAGCCACACGCATTCCCTTCCTTCCACGTCAATGTTCTCAAGAAATATCACGCTAATGATGCATCCCTGTTCCCGAGTCGTGAACTCATATGCCCTGCTCCGACTATTGTCGATGGACATGAAGAATATGACATTGAAAGGATTCTTGACTCACGCAAGCGTGGCAAAGGATGGCAATTTCTGGTGCGCTGAATTGGTCAAGCGCCGTCTGAAGATTGCTGGCTATCCTACTCCTCATTACGTGAATGTGCGGCCTTGGACACTTGGGTCAAAAATGGCGGTGATGGTCCCGCAGACCTTATAAACAGCGTTTAAGTATCTCTTATTATACTTTACACTCACTGATAGAACACACATCATTATCGGTCCTTTTGTCTCTCAATTACTTTACTAATTATTCCCTGCTCAACCACCCCCCCCCCCCGACTCAATGCTTCATGGACGGTGGGGATGTAAACATTCCGTTTACTCGATACGCGTGTACTTACCATTCTCAGATGTTTACGTATATTTATATACCGCCAAAGCCTCCGGCTTCTTATATATAGTTAGTTACCTACTGTAGACGTCTCTCTTCTTCTTACCCTCATCATCTCCTTCTTCCATCTCTCCTCCTTTGTGTAGTACATCCTCCGAATACCAATCCGTGTGTCACACAAGCATCGACCCCATAAGCGTGAGTGTTACGTCCATACTAAGGACGTTTCCATGTAGGTGCTTTTCTTTTTTCTTTTATACCTAACCTTCCCTTTACTTAGTATCGGGACGTATGTTTTTATACTCAATTTAATATCACTTATAATACGGGCGAAGCAGGACTCAAACCTGGATGGAGCAACGAAAATAACCTTTGACAAAAAGATGTCTTGTTCACAAGAACTCCCTGGCTCGGAGTTTTCGCGCGATGAAATTTTTTTTGCATCGGCCGAGTCGAATGACAGGCGTGTGTACTAATCAATACACTACCAGCAATACACTACCAGGGAATACCTACTATCCTCTTACCGATAAAATTCTTTTAGACTTTGGTCTGAGCATATTAAATATTCTTTACCCGTTCAAAAATAAGTAAGTACGAGGAGAGGCCAAACTAAAACTACAGATAAGGACTGTAGATGGAGCTCTGATGAGAGTCAAAGAATGAATCATAGGGACGTATAGAAAGGAAGCTGATCTACATATGCAGTACTTGTAGATCCCGGTCAAGGAGAGCAAGAGCCGATACACATAGAGTTTAGAGTATACATCGCGATCGCATAAAATCACCACGAATTATTTTCTCTGCTTCAACTACCCTCCTTGACCAACTCAAACCCTACATACTCTCTCTTCTCGACGGATAAGCTACATGCTACCACCTTATGATGCAGGAACCTTTGCATTTCTCTTCCAAGTCTTCTCCCTTGGTAGTACGATGATGGGCCGGGTGTACGAGGACAGTGACCAGTCTCGATAGAGTCAAAGTACACAAAGTTACTGAAATAATTGTAAATTACTCCCTGGTAGTATATCGGTTAGTACACGCGCCTGTCATTAGATAGTTCCATCATAAGATTATCTCGCGCGAAAGCTGGGTTCGATTCCCAGCCAGGGAGTGCTGCAGTTTGGTTCTTGACTTTTTTGTCGAAATGGTTTCTGAACCGCTTTTCGTTGCTTCATCTACTAAGCTTCGTTTGTTTGGATCCTGCGAGTTTTCTGGAAGGTTCTTTTTTTTTGGCAGAAAACATGAAACATAATGCATAAACGTGTGCCTTTCGTTCACCCATCCTCCCTGGTTTCTTCATAGTAGAAGGGCCAAGACGAGTCCAGTCGAGACCTGTCCCGGATTCTATTCCCACCACTAACTCTTAACTCTCAACTCTTTGCATACTCTACCCAACGTATTGTATATACGAAGTTTAATTTAATACCTTCAAACACCTTCCAGCAGGAACCTCACAAGACTCAAAAACAAACTCCAGCAGATGAAGCAACGCTGCAAGTGGTTGAGAGAACCTTTCGACAAAAAAAAGAGCAGTCCGCTAGGATTGCGAAATACTCCCTGGCTGGGAGTCGAACCCAGCTTTCACGCGATACGTCCAGTTGGATATATCATGACAGGCGCGTGTACTAACCGATATACTACCAGGGATCCCTTCAACGTGGTACGTTTCCTGTACTGTACACATTTAAATGGTCGTTACATACATAGTGGCCATACCGGAATTTGGGCTCTTGTACCAACACTCAAAAGGACCCGTAGCCTAGGTTGTAATCACGAACTGCAGCGGGTGAGCAACAAGAAGACGTATAGAAACAATCAAGGAACATACCCTACTTGTTGTGAGCATAATCCGCCATCGATCCCTGTTTTTTCCATCCATAACCTGTGCCCACGCGAGGGTTCTACAAGGACCGTTGTCCACTTTACGACGAAGACATTATTACATGTATGGCAATACAGTGGAGGTTTAAGACTACTTATTCCAAGAAGCCCTACAATCTTTCAAATTAGGACCGCCCTCCGACTACGATCATGTTCACCTAAAACAACTGCATACAGGTTGACGTGCTAAAGAGGAAGGAAACAGAAGAAAACAAAAAAAACAAAAACAAAAACAAAAACAAAAACCCAAACAACGAGGAATACACTCCCTGGCTGGGAGTCGAACCCAGCTTTCGCGCGGCAAAGCTAGAAATTCACCCAATGACAGGCGCGTGTACTAACCGATATACTACCAGGGATTGAATCAAAACTGTTCTATGGTGTATACGTTCGAAACAGGATATCACGCGAGACTCAGTCTTAAGTCGGGCAGGTGGGTGAGCGAAACGAATCACAGGCATGGGCATGGGCACGGGCGTGTAGAGAGAAGATTCTACATTACCCAGTGACACGTCTCTGCTCTTCCTCCTGGAGAGTCCAGACCTAAGGGACCACACTTGTGTACTACAACAACGTGCGTGCCAACTCGACAATGGAAGGTTTAGGGTCGGACTCTCTCTCTCGTCTCGCAAAGGCCTCCATATTTCATATTTTGCACTCCCACTATGTCACCTATAACACCTCCACCGCTAGCAACTGGGTATGAGTTGAAGCGCAGATGAAGAAAAAAAACAAAAAAAAAAAAACCTCTAAATGCATGCTCTGTCACTCCCTGGCTGGGAGTCGAACCCAGCTTTCGCGCGGGATAAAATACCTCGTACCTATGACAGGCGCGTGTACTAACCGATATACTACCAGGGAATAGTTTCTCATCGACACAATTGGTATTTATCCAAGCAATCGCTTAGATGATACTTAACTGACAAAAAGTTCACGGAGATCAAAACACAGAAAACTCGAACGAGAGAGAAAGAATCATAGGCATATAGAAAGCTAACGTATGTAGGACAATGGAGAGGAGGGGGCATGCGGATACGATACACATATAAACATCGCCGTCACCATAATCGCTCTATCGATTCCTTTCGTATTTCGTTTTTTCAACTACCCGTCATATCCTCTCTGCTCCTCCGCTCCGAGTCTTAAGCCACCTTATGGACCGCCTTATGACCTTGCAGCACCAGGAACGTTCCTCCTCTCCCTCCTCTGTCCACGTTCGGGGGCTACGACGACGGGTGTGACGACGGTGACGTTGATGGAGTCAAAGTTGAGGGAAGTTAGGAGGGCCTATGGGGCGGGGTGGGGTGGGGGGAGAAGGCGTTAGACAAGACAGATCGATAACTGGGGGGAAGAAAAGAAACAAGCAACCCACCTTGGTCTCAGGATCGACCTCCAAAGAACCTCCCATCGCACCGACATCGAGAGCGGACACTTCTGGGACGTAGTTGTCCTTTCGTTCACGTTCTTCTTCTTGGAGTTTGAACGAGATTCCTATACACGGACACTCATTAGCGTCATGGGGTAAAGTATATATGTCGTAAACGGGGAAGCGTACCAGGAACAGGACCCTTTTGGATACGCTTCATCAAGTGAGTGGTGAATCCGGAGATTTTGTTGCGGAGGCGTTTGGAGGGGACAACGGCGACTTCGTCGATGATGCGTTTGTTGGTGTGGAAGTCGAGGGTTAGACGGGGGTAGCTGAAGGAGGAGTTGGATTAGCGGAGTGGAATACGAGGGAGGGACAAGACTCACTATTTTTCGATCAACACCCTCGAAGCCCTCTTGGTTGTTTTCGTTCGAACTCGGCCCTACGACGTATCGTTAGTTTAGAGGTCACTCTGAAGATCATGGATGAACACACACCATATTGATTTTATCCTAATCCTTTTCCTTCTTTATAAAAAAAATCGAAATAACGCTCTGCGCGGAGAGGGCTACGGGCTCGTTAGCTGGGCTTGCAGTAGTCGGAATGGACGCAAAAACGAGACAAGAATTGTGTGACTGTGAGAATAATCCACCCACTGAAACTGTATAGCTTCACGCGACTCGGCTAGAACGGCAAGTCATGCAGCTCAAGGGTCGTGGGAAGGTGAGCCATCCCTGTCGGACAAAAAATTCTGTGCAGCAAATCCCTTGTTCCTCCGTCCACCTCCTCAAGACCTTCTTCCCTTTCCCTTTCAAAAAGGTACCACCCAATTTCTCCTCCTCGTCTCGCATGCATGGTGTCGCCCTACGGATGCGCTCGTCGTCGACGATACCGCTTCGTAGAAAAAAATCCACCCTTCCCCCAGCCCCTTGGGAACCAAACCGCCGTTTGACTCGCGTTTTTCCGTAGCGCGACACTCATTCTTGGCCCATGCTGATCATGCTCACCTCTTCTCCCTCTTCGAAACAGGCCCATACTTGATTGACTGTTTACTCCCCACAAAAAAAAACTTGTAATCAATCAAAATGGTCCGCGTTTCCGTCCTCGTGAGTGCACCGTTCCAGTATTTCCTTGTGAGTCTGAGTCACGGAACTGAATCCCGTGTGCTAGAACGACTGCCTTAACAACATCGTCAACGCTGAGCGCCGTGGTAAACGCCAGGTCCTCGTTCGTCCTTCCTCGAAGGTCATCATCAAATTTTTGAGTGTCATGCAGAGACACGGTGAGTATTTTCAAAAGGGTTTCGTGTTTTATTTTCCTTCCCAATCCCTTCCTTTTTGTTGTCGTTTTCGTTGCTTTACTCTACATCCCTTGTTATCCATCCTTTGAACCTCTCTCTCCCCTCCCTTCCCTTCCCCTTCGAAGTGATAACTACGATCGACTTCAGGTCACACTTCCACCTGTTGATCGTTTTAACGCTTCGATATACGAAAACCGTCCTACGAAAACCATACAACTCGCCCTTTGCCCTTTTTTTGGTTCATTTTACGAGGGGTGGGTTCACGGTGGGACGACATCCTTCTACTTACTACTTATTGCCTACTTTTTTACTCTTATTCTTGCTCCTCTCACCTTCTTCACTACCCTCATACTGACCTCTCCGTTTTTCCCATAGGCTACATCGGCGAATTCGAAATCATCGACGACCACCGCGCCGGCAAAATCGTCATCCAGCTCAACGGGCGACTCAACAAGACAGGTGTCATCTCTCCCCGGTTTAACGTCCAAGTGACACAGATTGAGAATTGGGTCAATTTGTTGTTGCCTTCGCGTGGGTTTGGGATTATTATTTTGGTGAGTGTGTGTGCTCCGCCTTCCTCTGCCTCTGCCTCTGCCTCCCTTCCTCCTTCTCTGCCTTGAATTACGAGGCGTTGAGGATTGGGTATCTGGACGTTAATGTTGACGCTGATATGGTTTTGGTTTTGTAGACTACCTCGTCTGGGATCCTCGACCACGAAGAAGCTCGTCGTAAGAATGTTGGTGGGAAGATTTTGGGATACGTTTACTAGTTTGGGCTTACTGTACCGTACCCGTTTACAGTATGAGCGTGTACGATGGGTTACTAGTATCCCTATTCCGTGTCTCTATCTTGTGGTGTACTATAGTGTTTGTCCCGCCCGATATGAGGTGATGATATGGCCATGCGTATGCTCATGCAACTATTGTATTTCTGCTAGTCCGCGCTTCAGACGGCCTGGCGTACTTGTACTCTATACGGTATGTTCAATGAGCCGGTTCAGTGGTGAAAATCCCGGTTTGACGAAAACACTTTCCTTAATAAAGCTATTATGAGGCTCGATTGCGCAGGTATAAATAATTCCCTGGTAGTATATCGGTTAGTACACGCGCCTGTCATTGTCCATGGTTTTGACCGATACGCGCGCGAAAGCTGGGTTCGACTCCCAGCCAGGGAGTGACTTTGTGAGTAATGTGTTTTTTTTTTTTTCTGAATTGTCTGCGTATGCTCATACAACTATTTCTCCTATTCCGTGTCTCAGATGACCTCGGGCTGATGTAGGTACTTGTATTGTATACGGTATGTACTGTACCAATGAGTCTTAGCCTGGAATATGCATGAGTCAGTTGAGGGGTGAAAACCTCCCTAGTCTTGACGAAAACGCTTTCCTTGACCTTGATGGTGTTATGTATACGTATACAATACCTCGACTGTCTGATGAAGATCAATTCCCTGGTAGTATATCGGTTAGTACACGCGCCTGTCATATGCCATTCTGTGTAGACTATATGCGCGCGAAAGCTGGGTTCGACTCCCAGCCAGGGAGTGCTGGTCGATCCTGGAGTTATTTTTTTGTATTCCTTGAGTTCTTCTCTTTTACTTCTTTTGTATTGAAGGTCGGAGTCCCAATCGATGTGGTATTGTTAGTCCTGTGTTTGTGTCTGTGTCTTTCTTCTTTTTATGTTTCTCCTCCGAGTCTGGGTTTGGGTTTCCTGCACACTGCTGTAGTCTGTACGGCTTGATTGATAGGAGTGTATAGTGCGTACTGTAGCATCTTATCCCTGCCCTGTGATACAATCTGGTGAAGTGTTTGCCCCACTCAATATGATTTGATATGCCCATGCACAAGATATAGCTATTTCTTGGTAGTCACCGTCGCAGAGCGGCTTGACATAGTATTAACAGTATGTATTTCCAACAAGCCTGGACTCTTGCATCCTGAGTGAGTCGATCCAATGGTGAATAACACCCAAGTTAACGAAAGCAATTGCATTAATGACCTGATTAGGTATAAACCTCGATTGCACTAAGTATGAACAGTTCCCTGGTAGTATATCGGTTAGTACACGCGCCTGTCATCAACCGCACAGATGATAACTTGCGCGCGAAAGCTGGGTTCGACTCCCAGCCAGGGAGTATGGAAGGGTTCGATATTGTTTTTTTTTTCTCCTCTTCACTTCTTTCGTATCGTAAGTCCGAGTCCAAATCGACGTGACGTTGCTACGTACTGTGTCTGTATATCTCTCTCTTCTTTCCATGTTGCCCCACTGTACGCTGTAGGATTTGATTAATAGGAGTGGTGTACTTGTACTCTTATTATACAGTATGCATGTCCAACAAATTCAGATTCTTGAGTGAGTCAGTCGAGTGGTGGAGTGAAAAGCTCGGAATGTAGACAATGCTTTAACGAAAATGCTTACCTTGAAAAGCTCACTTTATACATCTCGATTGCATATATACAGACAGGTCCCTGGTAGTATATTGGTTGGTACACGCGCCTGTCATTGCCTGTCACATTTATCAATACGCGTGAAGCTGGGTTCAACTCCCAGCCAGGGTGTACAAAAAAAATTCTTTAGCGTTTTTGGGCCTCCGTTGATGCATTTTTTAATATTTATTTAAAAAAAATGACGTCCTTCTCTGAAGACTCTTCTTGCTCAACCAAGTCCAAAAAAGTTTTATTGTCTGTGTCTCTTATTTCCAACTTTTCCTTGGGTTTACTGTATGATGTACACTGTACGGCTTGATCGATAGGAGTGTGTACTGTAGTATCTTATCCCCGCCCTGCGGTCCGATATGGTTTAATCTAGTGGGGTGTTTTACCCCGCTATAAAACATTGAATTTGAACTTCTCGTAACGTATACTTTAGACAGTATGTCCAGATTCAACGAGTCTAAATGATTCCGACAAGCAGTGAAGCGGAAATATAATTCAAGTACTTATATACTTGACTTTGTAAAGTACAGAGTACCTTAATGTCGAAGCTATACAGCATGTTGTTGAAAGTTCACTCTCATAGTCGCTGTCACTGTCACCTTGCTAATGGCCCCAAAGTTTGTGGCACAGTGTACAGCATTGGACGAGTCCAAATGTTGAGCAGTGGATTGAAAAATGAAAGAATTTGGTAGCAGTTGCTTTTAATCTGACTAGCGTGGAGAGTTCATTATGTATACCCGCATACCAACAATTACCTGGTGGTATATCAGTTAATACACGCACCTGTCATAAGATCCTCGTGCGCGTCCGGTATCCAAAGTCTAAGAGTGGTGCTCTAGGGGCCGCATGGTTGGGCGGAGACTCAGTAGAGGCTGCCTGCCTGCTGTTGCGCTTTCAGGGGTCTCATGCGCTGGGGGAGGAGTTACAAGGCTTGACTCCCTGCCAGGAAGTGTCAATGCAATAGACTGGTTCCTGTTTTCTCTGCTTCTCCAGCTGCCGTGAGCAAAGTTACTTGCAAGTATCTTGTTTTTTTCCGCGCTTCACAGCTTAACTTACCGAGGCTCGGCACAATGTAGCTTCACTAAAACCTTATTATTGATTCATCAACGGGTTATTCGTTACTACATTTTAGAGATGTCATTGCCGATTGTGGAAACTCAATTCTCATTTTAGGCTATGAACTATTGTACTGGGACATTTCTACTCCTGGTTATCAGCAGCTGACAGTTTATAGCATTTAAGTAATTACTTGATGTAAACATAAAATCGCTCCCAGATGTCATTTGAAAAGTAGACAAGACCTATTCTTTCTCCTCTATGAGCATTTTTCTCCTTTTGAATGTTATCCATTAACATATGAATATCTACGCAGCTACTATCATGTGTACCAACTACCAAGGGATAGTATAACTCACCTCAGTTGTTGGTAGACAACTGAGGTGGTCAGTTGCCGTAGCTACAGTTAAATCGAGCTACAATAACATATGCCTGGGGCGGAATAAAACTCATAACCAAGAGCTCATGGGGAATGTAGTATTTCGATCCCGCTCTTACATCAAGGCGGTCAAATAAGAAGGGTCGAGTGGGAAATAGCAAGTGAGAGCATAAAGCCCTGCAGCATGATTACACAGATCAAGCGAGGAGTAAAATCACCACTATATATAAAAAAGGTGCTTATTGCGACAGAATATCATGCTAACTACGAGGCGATAGCGCGGTGAGGATTGGATTACACTGTGGGTAGATCCCGTGAGATGACAAGGTAAATTGTTTCACGTTTATCGATGACAATGTAGCTAAGTGTACCATACCGATTTGAACTATTCAATGCAATACACCATGAATTACACAGAGCAAAAGAAGAGCAAAAATCATCGCTGTATATAAAAGGTACCCGTTGCGAGAGAATATGATGTCAAGTAAGTATGAGGCTATGGCACAGTAAGATGTTAGTTACACTATTGGTAGATACCGTGAGATGATACAGCTAAAATACCATATTAATTTGACTTATTCAATATTAATTATATTCAAGAATCAAGCTATTTGAACGATGATATAAGAGGGCAAGCAGTCAACACCAGACATGGTATTTTTCACTTGATTTATGACACCAGAAGAACAACAGACCATCTCTCTCTATGCCAGTGTTATCTACCTCAACACAGTATCTTTCACAGTAGTGTTAGCAACAGGCTTTGGTATGCATTATCTAACTTCTTGTGAAACGTTAATCATATAAGTCGACTTTATTTAGGAGTTACTATGCTAGGAATTTTGATTACCACTCGCATATTGGTGTAAGTAATCTCAGGGTGGGCTCTAGAACAACTTACACATTTGAGTTGAACACATTGATAGAACCAAGTCATGGTCCCATTCAAGAATCGCCCTGCTCGCCTGCCTGATCATTACATTTATTACCTTGACCTGGAATACCTCTACCAATATAGCATTCCCATTGATTGAAGACCCAGTTAATTTTTTTGAAATAACGCCAGAGGTACAGGGAGCACTTGAGGCGAAAGGGGAGATAGCAAATAGAAAACTTTTGCCTTTGACATGTATGAATGGCTGGGATTTAACGACTTCCGTAAGTTATCTGTGTTTGCTTATCCCTCTTTCAATAGCTTGATTGTTTCATTCAGATGTTCTTGAGTGATTTCATTGTGGTTTGGAGGGCATGGGTTTTATTTCAACAGCAGAAGTCCTGGAGAGTTGCGCTTGCCTTTCTCATGGTTGTAAATTTTGGTTTGTAAACCGGAGTAATTCATCCCTAGGTGTCAACCTAACTAAATTTTCTGTATGATACCATATATAGGAATTCATGTTGCAGACGGCATCCTGGATAATATTGACATTCAAGTGGATGAATCTAACTCCAGCACGATTTTGGATTGGTTGTCACCTGTAGTCTCATTGGTAGTTAACATATTTTCAACAGGCCTAATTGCATGGAAGGCATGGTAAGCTCCGTAAAAGACTTTACTACTTTATCCACTGTTCTTACAATCCACTGTGGGCAGGAATCACCATTGTATTGTCAAAGACGCTGGGTTACACAGAAGAACAAGAGTTCAGAATATCCTATGTCTGCTCATTGAATCTGGTGCTATATATTGCACTATCGAAGCTGTCTTTGCAGTTACTGTTCTGCTGAATCTGTATGGACCCCTAGATAGCCAAAGCTTTTTTGAGACTAAGGGCATTATTGATTCCATATTTACTCTTGCTTCTGTAAGTCTCAATCCTTTTCACCGAGTAATTTCAAAATTCATCGGTAACTTCATAGACCTGGTATCCTATCGCAGTAGTTCTATTGATTAACATGGATAACTCTCCAGTGATTGAGACCATCCGAATTAATCAAACCCCGGAGGATTCTCACCCTCACGATGGTGGATTCCAGCTTTGAAAGGACCTTGTCGGCTGGGACATGAAAACTATTATCAAATTTACAAGTAGTGGTAAATGTAATAAAGACTCTTATTTATTGATATCGTCGATAGGTGAAGCATTGGATCGATTCAATGCCAGTACAAGGTTCCACAAAATGTACTATATGCAGTCCATCAAGACTGTGCTTCCATTCCGAAATGATAGGAGAGGTGAACCCAAATGCGCCATTTGGATACTGAATTATTAACATGCTCCAGTGTATCCTAATGTCACTTGTATCATACCATGATACCCCTATGATGTACTTACATTCCTCAATGTTTTCCTATGACCCATTTGATAATTGCTGTCTATGTATTGTCTGACCGCCAACCACAGGTCTCAGATGTTGGGTAGACTGTGGGTAGTAGGTATGTAGTACGAACATACACCTACCCTAATACTATTTATGCGAGAAGGAAAATTGGGTGAGTGACAAAGTAACTTGTCTAACTTGTCCAGATTTCATGATTGCAATTTGCCTTCTTATAAGTATAAATAGTAACAGGGTAGGTGTATATATATACCCACAGTTTATCCAACATGTTCGACCTTTGGTCGGCGGTGGCATTAAACACCAGTATTAATTAATCGGGCTATAAAACACTTGAGAGTCTACATAATAGTGGCAGGTGACATTATACATATACTACAGTATGTAATCATAAATAATTGCTTTATTTCTTATCAGCCAGCTGTTCTGGCGCCTTTGGGTTGACCTCTCGAATGATCTCTTAATGAGTGCTTCCAATGCTTGGATCAACTGTCCTGGTCGGCACTTGGCTCTCTCGGTGAAAATCCTCTGTGGTCTGATTGATTTGGATGGACTCGATCAGTGGAGAGTTATCCATGTTTACCAAAACGGCTACCACCATGGGATACCAGGCCTATGAAGTTACTGATGAATATTAATATCCATCTGCAAAAGAAATTGTGACTTACAGATGCAAGAGAAAATGTGGAATCAATAATAGCCTTATACTCTGCAAACCTTAGGCTATCCAGAGGTCCATACACATCCAGCAGGATACTAACAGCATAGACAGTCTGTATGGTGCAATATATAGCACCAGATTCAATTAACAAAAGTAGGACATTCTGAACTCTTGTTCTTCTGTGTAATCCAGCATCTTTGACAATATGATAGTGATTCCTGTGCACACTGCACAGTGAACTGGATAAATATAGCATATACTTTTGGGGCACTTACCATGCCTTCCATGCAATTAGGCCTGTTGCAAACATGTTAACCACCAGTGAGACCACAGGCGACAACCAATCCAAAATTGTGCTAGGATTAGATTCTTCTGGCACCTTGATCTCAATGTCATCCAGGATGCCATCTGCGATCTGAACTCCTGTGTGGTATCATACAAAGGATTTAGTTAAATTGATACCTACGGCTAAATTTTTCCAGCCTACATACCAAAATTCGTAATCATGAGAAGCACAAGTGCAACCTTCCAAAGCTTTTGCTGTTGAAATAAAGCCCATGCCCTCCAAACTACAATGAAATCACTCAAGTAAATCTAGATGAAATGATCAAGCTATTGGAGAGATAGATGAACATTGCTACCTTACGGATAATGTTAAATCCCAGCTATTCATATATGTAAATGGCAAAAGTTTCCTGTTTGTTATTTGCGCTTTTGCCTCAACTGCTCCCTGTACATCTGGTTTTATTT